TAGCTGAATTTAAACAGCATATACCATAAACCAAGAGGTGATTAAATGAATGCAGTTTGCGTTAGTAATTTATATAAAGCGAGCATAAACTGCGCAAAGTTATTACTGCAGTCCAAACCGACCTAAAAGATAAAATTCTAAACGAAAATTTCATAAGTTTAATAAGTTTGTTTAACAAACATTTCTTTGTTTTTGTGTAAACGGAATCCATCTTCTAAATGAGAAGCGCGTCCCCTACTCTGTTATACACGAAATGCAAAAAGTTTTAATGACTAGGTGATTTATACCAAACTTGTCATGTCCTCGTATTTTCTTCCTCATTCCTTCGCAAGACCTACTTACAAGGAATAGATGCTTGGATAATTTACGTTTAGTTACATCTAGAAAAATTATACAAATTGTGCTAATAATGCAGTTCCATGTGTTTGTAATACGTATATTATTAACATAATATCAAAGATCAATTGCTTCCGATAGCCGCCATGTGTTGGCTGCTTTTTTTTTGGCGTCTTGCCACAATTTTTTCTTCAATGTAAATAATAATTTTTACGATTCATACCGCGCTTATTTAATCACAGTGTAGTAAATTCTTGAAATAGTTTCACTGTTGAGCTGTGTTCACAAGTTAGAATTGCTGCGATAACGATTCCCTTGTCATCGTTTATTGATTTGTATAAGTTTTCACGGCGGCAAAAAAATTTTTAGCACATGAGACAGTGGAGCCTTACGGTTATTTACACACCCTCATGAGTAGTAATAAATTACAACTCGAGCCTTTCTTCGTAGATTGGGACTACTTACATTAGTAGGGCAGCGAAACGACATCCTGAAACTTTTTATAGAACGGGCCTTTAAACCGACCGACACTGAATGTGAACGGCCCTTTGAAGACGCTAATGGACGGGGACTTGCCTGAAAGGACGGAAACTTAAAATGTTTCTTACGACCTGAAACGTCTTTATCTAAATGGCGAAATTATGTCAAGATAACATTCATCGTAATGAAAATATCGTCGTCGAATTAATCATAGATTTATCGAGATTTTAATAAAAAGCGATACGAATCGTATAATGAATGACTTTAACACTTGACTACAAAAAGGTGAGAAAGAAAACTCCATTGACGACAGCATTCAATTACTTTCTTGCAATCAGAACAGCTATTAAAAAAACAATTGACTGTTTAACAATTAACAACACGTTAAGAAGAATAATAGCCGCTTAGAAATTAAAAACGATATGCACATATTTATAGGTCTAGAAGTAAATCATCCTATCATTACCTATAACTTAATGCTATTTTTATTGTTGTTTGGTAACGTATTAATCCTAAAGCTGTAAACGCTTTCACATCTAAAAAGCAGGAAACATTATGAAGGCAGATTATATTTAAGAAGTTGCCATGTTTGGCTCTGCTATTATTCCCAATGGTAGGCCGTGTTGTCGCATGACGAAGTTGCGGAGTGCTCGTAAAGCAAAGCGTTGTTATATGTCACATTCACTGACTTTAATGGTGTTTTTTTATGGAATTCAGGTATCGCGCTCTTAAACATAATTGTAAATGTGAATATTAAATCTATATTATGTTAAACGACAAGAAGGTACGTTGTTCATTGTAGCCGGGGACGTGAGGTAAGAGCCCAGTACGCCCAGGGCCCTGGAGAGAAAGGCCCTCACAGATTTGAGCTGAGATTGTTACTAAACTATTATCGCTGAAGCTATGCGTGACGCTCTTTTTAACCAGAGCGCATTATTGTTGATACTCATATTCCTTAATAACTTAACATAATGGTTATAATAAAAAAATGTTTAATGATTCAACAAAATATTATGTAACTAACACATTTGTATATACATATGTATATACTTTAGTCGAAATGCAAAGATATTCATAAACTTTCCTTAATGTTAGATAAGCATCTCATTATACTGTGGGAAAAGTAATAAACGTCTCAAAGGGTTAATTCTCCGTTTACTATAATTAAACTAAAAGTTAACTGTTAACTAGTCCGTATTATGTCCGTTTGCGTTTATTTTCTAAGTTTGCATTTAGTTGCGTAATTCATTTGTTTATTTTATTCAATAGAAAGTTATTTAGCATATTTTGTAGATAATCGTTTATAATATTTAGCAGATATTTAAATTACGTCATTCGAATTTCAACAGTCCTGTTGCCCGTTTTAGAATTATTGTTTGACGTTTTCAACATCAAGATAACCGTTTCATTTCCGTGCAAATGACGATTCGTGTAATCTTGTACTGATAAATCTCGACATGAAAATAATACTATTACAAGTTACTCTGACAAAACATCGTATTGCCATCAAGTGACAAGCCTGACATAACATGCTGTAATACACTATGTTCTAGCTTAAAGTATATGTTTAAATAACTAAGCCTGACATCTACATGTAGTATCTACAATGTTTCTTAATAACAGTATATTATAAAAGTAGTGGTTATTAGAAATAAACGCCTTGTTAAACATTCATTACGAACGAAATACATAGCTTTTATAGTACTTCTGTATCTTGTCGGTATCGTGGGAACTGCAGTGTATTTAGCAATGCAATAAACTTTGCGGATAACTTTATATATAGTATGGATAAGTTGTAAACAATTCATAAGAAGTTAGGTAAATAAATCGTAGAATATTTTAAATGTACGTAAACATCATACCGAAATTACAATGTTACTTTCCTGGTACAATGTTGTACCTGTAATAATATGAAGTGTTGATTCGGTCGAAGCAGTTATTTTAACAGCTAAATTAATATGCCAATCTTTACTTATAAAGAGGAAAGATTTGTATTTTTGTATGTATAGAAATAACTCAAAAACTACTTGTCCTTTTCAGCATTTAAATTGGACTAATAATATAGAAGATATCGCGAACACAAATAATAAGGGTAACCGAAAAATCAGCTTAGTAGCAACCGGGCTTAGAAATTTGGAATCTTGCATCGGTAGATTTCTGTTATTACGTAGATTACTACTAAGTTAATATATTGGTAATAGGTTGAAAAAAGAGCAAACGTAAGTTTTGTACTTTCAAATTTCACGCGGACGAAGTGGCGGGCAAAAGCTAGGCAATATTATAAAGAGGAAAGATTTGTATATTTGTTTGTAATGGAATAACTCAAAAACTGCTGGGCCAATTTAAAAAAATCTTTCACCGATAGAAAGATAATTTAAGTGTGAGTAACATAGGCTACGTTTTTCATTATATTTTTTAAATTCACGCGACCGAAGTCGCGAACAACAGATAGTAAAATATATTTACTCATGGTTTCATTTTACGAGCAATTTCTTCTATGTTCATAACACTTCACCGCAATACGTGAAGGAAAACTTATGACTATCTTACATACATCATATTGGATAGCAAACGTTATTACCGAATTAGGTCACCTTGTAACGCGAGATTGGAGCGATGGAACCTGTACACGCCGGGGACCCGGCACGCACATTCATAATAATTTTACTTGGCCGTCGTCGACAGTTATTGATGGTGCCTATTGGACACCAACATACTGTACCTACAACCAATAAGTCATACTGACATATTTAATTGAGAGGGTCATATATGTAAATGTAATCACACTTCATACTAATATCATAAATGCGAAAGTTTACATGGATGGATGGATTTTTGTTAGAGTTTTCAGACTAAAAGGCTGAACGGATCTCGAAATTTGGTAGGTAGATGATAGTATGGAAGAATACATTGGCTACTCACTTTTTTTTTTAATTTCCACGCGGACGAAGTCGCGGGTGAAAGCTAGTATTACACTGTTACAATGCTGTTTATTTTTTATTCAAGAGCGAAACCCACAGTTAAGCCTTATAGGTTTTTAAACAAAATTAAAAAGCCACCGCCAGAGGTCGTGTAGGGTCTCTTACTTAGGTCATTTACAGACAATTTAGTTATTCAAATTAATTCGTTTTATTAAGACTGCGAGAGGCCATTGAAGATATAAAGATGATTATAAATTTGAAAGAGGCTTTGTTCGCAGCGTAAGTTGGAACGTTAAGAATTAAGAGAAATTTAAATAGATATGTCTTAGTAAAATTTACCGAAATAAAGACGGCAAATTGCTGTACTACATTGATTTTAAAATTTCATTAGGATTATATTTGATTCTTTTATTCAACTCTTAAATGCGTAAAACGTTGTTTAATTCATGTTTTTCCATACAATAAAAAGCAAACCGGTGAGCGCCGAGCACTTTAGACGATATGTGCTATGTGGCTCTAGGGATTGTCGTCGCTTGCATGACAACTGAATGTTTGTGATAGCATACGTACATCATATAACAATTTTTCATTCTCAGGTATAAATCTAGATGAAACACATTAAAAAACTAGCTGTTCCCGTGCGGCGTCATACGCATGAAATTTAAAAAAAAAACTTTTTTACTGTTTACATTTGTCAAATTCTCAATTACAAATGTCACAATTATCGTTACCATAATATCCTAAATGTTGGCAGCTTGTAAATGGCCCCTTTCCCACATGAAGGTTTTTTTTTAAATTTATTTACTCCCTAAGTTTCATAGCGTGAAAATATATAGCCTAAAGCGTGACGTAAGTGTAGGGCTTTTTATTAAAGAAGATTTATTCAAAAATATGCTGTTATTGCTGACATCTTAGGCAACAAAGAATTTTGTGTTTACGCTTTATTATAATAGTATAGATTAATAAATGTTTTTAATTGTATTGCATTGTTTAGTATGTAACATAGATAGAATTAAATGATAAAAGTGTCACGTCCAACATTTTAAGACGACATTCATGCCCCTACCTTATTATGGAGGAATATTTTTATATTCCCGTCGCCACCGCGCTCTCAATACACCATATTACAAGGACGTGAGTGAAATCACGAAGGGAACACCTCGAATTAGATATCCGTTCCACATGTCCCTTGTTAATATTCATCGTATCTTTCCCCACCTATATTCACTTGTAAATGCTAATTTACTTTTAATTTTGTTTCAGGTCAGCCAGCGTTTGAAGACGATTAATACGAGGTACGTAATCGATTGTATCATCGTTGATTAGTATCGGGTGAGCAATCGGAAGTCAGTTTTTACTCGATTCTGTTTACGCTATTCGATTCTAAACAAATACTGGGTTTAGCCTCGTTTCGCTTTTCCCGCTGATCGCTGTTAACTGAAGTAGGTTAGTCGGAGTGAGATAATAGCTGTCCGTCTCGGCTGTTTCGCTCCTATTATTGTTTGTATTCAGCACCGCGCCCGCTGCCGTCGAAAAAACTTTTTCCCGAGTTAATAGGTAAGCAATATTTGGAGTTTTTTCATCGACTGTTGTTATTGGCATTATTGGGAGCGGCTATTGCGATGCGGATGAAACTAAATTAATATTGAAATACTGAATAATACATTTATTTAGGTCAGCATGCTGTGAAATATCATTTTTAGGTTACTTAAGCAATCTTTACAGAATATCAGTGGTTACTTAACTGAATATTCGTAAACAAAGGTAATTTATATTGATGTTTCGTGTTCGCCACTTCGTAGGCAAGTAATATTAGAATTCGACGTATTAACCAAGTAACAAGACTATGTAATTTGATAAATGCTTACTATTCGTGTAATTAATGCTTGAACAAGTTGAACCGAGTCAACCTTGTACTAGAAATTGTAGACGATATGTAATATTATGTAAGTATGTTATAATATTAAAGAGATTGTTATTCGTATCCGATATGCTACGAGGTTTCCGGCGGAGAACCTTGAAGGTGTACAATATTGAGGTGAGCGGAGGCTTTATTCGCTTTGCGGTCAGAGCGCCACCTGTGCGGTCGAAGGGGGAAACTATCGCGGACACGTAATGTATTATGTATTAAAACGCTATCTCCAACAATATATTACGCCCTTTCTCGTCCCGGACCGATATAAAACATGTGACCCTATATCTCTAAATTTAGGAAATTGGTTAATAAATGTTAGAACTAAACATTTTATATACCTGTAACCTGTTGATATATAATGCCTAGACGTAATTTAATTCTTTTTAAGGTGTTTATTTTATATTTTCTTAAATAAACATCTCAAATAAAATTGTCCTTTGTTAAAAGAAAGATGAATGTTTACTTGGAGTTATAAAAGAATAAGACGTAATGCGAGTTGGTTATAATTTGGTCGTCCCAGTTACGGCAACGTTTTTAAATAAAAGTTGGGCGTCCGGGTGTGTTTATCATGCCCAACGGCCCTGGGCGCTGGCTGATTTGGAGGGAAAGTTTCCTTGTTTTGCATAGAGCATGGGGTGAGTCGCCCTACCGACTTGAATATTTTAAAAGCGGACCAACTTTGCAGTACGTCCCTGTACGCATCCGAGACATCTCGAATACAAAGGTTGAATGGCGGGAAATTGTGATATCCTTAGAGTACTTTTGTTCATAATGTTTAGTTCCACATGTTAATAGTACGAAATTATTGCACTAGGAATAGTACATATTTATTTTGTTATATTCGATTGTTTGAAACATCGTCATCGATTGTAGGGTTATGTTCGAAACAAGTTGAATAAATAACTCGATCACAGTTCGAAATGTTGAAATGGAAATACCGCGTGCTGGATGAAGTTTGCACTTTATCTCTGCTTCGGATTTTAATTAACGTTGTTTCGTTTTTCATTCTGAACTATCCGTTCTAGGAATCACCATATCTATTTTGTTCTACGTCCCTTGCGTACTCGAATAGAAATATCTGTTGCATAGCTGTAAAATGAAATCGATTTTGATCATTTTGTTTTAAAAAAAATTATATCGACTAGAAATAAATTCAATGAATCTTGCCATATATACTTATAATATTCGTATTTAATACCCTATTACTTTAAAATTATTCAGGCGTATCAAATACAAATTGTAATTAATATCTGACAGATCGATAGTTACCTTGTGGCGATTTGCCAAACGAAATCTTTTAGCTATTGTAGTCATTAAAATATGTTATCATTGTTGTTTAATTCTGACTTCATTAATTTAAATCACCTCTGACATACATTTCGTTTTATTAATGAGATACAATTCAAATTGACCAAGGTTGACTAACGTCGGCAACAGTTCCAATAAGTTGGGGTACAATACCGATTTAGATGACTTGTTCTTGTTTTTTACTAGACTACTTTAGTAATCCTATCATATTAGTGTCAATATCCAAGCTTCCATATAATTATAATAATAGTTTCAAGTGTATTGGCAATAAATGCGCAAATTGAATCTTGAATATATCTATACTAACATAAATTAAGCGACATAGTTCATGGTTACCTTACATTAAAAAGATTTCATTAGTCTTCTGCTAAGAAATGTACGCGATAGACAAATAAGTGAACTTCGAAATGAAATTAACACGTCCATTGTTACTCTGTCAAGTTTATACAAAAAAATGTAGCAGCAACGTGCAAAACATAAGTTGCGTTTCGTTTGCCTAGCAACATAAATACATAACAAGTGTAGAGTAGTGTAGTGACGCGGGTTACGGCGGGGCGCGAGTGCGTCTATTCCGATGTGAACATACGCCGATAATTCGCATTGCTTCTATTTAATTTCCGCTTCACAATACAACTAAGTGGCATATTGTACAACCACACTACATATCAAACTTCAATTTATTAAAATTAAATCTATTGAAGTGTAAATAATGATAAAGATACGGACCGCATAATGTGGAAGCCATTGGGAATCCAGACATTTTCCTATGTCTTGTAATAGGCCTTTCCCAGTTTATGTTGTCGCAGTTATTGTTGTCAACCTTGTCCGTTGGGACAGGAACTGAATGATAATGATGATGGCACCATAAGCAACAGTAACACACATATTAATATTAAAAATAGTCTTAAATATTTTTAGATGCATAGCTTTAGTGTTTTCCCTATTATAAATTGTTGTTTAACGATGTAAGTGATAGCAGGCTTCCTAAACATGTTAGGGCGTTGAAAAACTGACACACTAGCCTATTTAATTAATCTCTCGACCCGACAACTCGACACATCGCCGAAGATTAATGTCATCCTGTTAAGGGTTTCAAGAGGAAATATGCGCATATTTTAAAAATTAAAACCATCGAAATTAGGTTACACGGCAATATAGTCCTTTATACATTTTTGACCAGGTTTAATTTTTTTTTTTAAATTTGAAAGATGCATACGAAAAAATATGACACCATAATAAAATTTAGACAAGATAGAAATAGAGGAGGTCTACGGGTTACATTATAAATCTGTTTCATTTCTCTAAAGAGCAAAGAAACATAAAACATCGCTTCGATCTTCATTCGGTTGGGTTTGTTTTTATGTTTTGTAAAATATAACAGATTGGATCAGACCTTTTTCTGTTGCGTTGGGCGGACGCTTTTCTTTTGTAGAACCGCTGACTTTCCCTTCTTGTTCTAAGTTTTATTATTGCTAGTTATATTTTAATAAGATAACCTGAATATTTTTACTTTGCTGATTGCGTTGAGAGCGATTGTAGCGCAAAGCTTCGCAAACCATCGTTTGAAGAGCTCATTAATAATTGCGGAGAATTTTAATAATGTATATTTGTAGAATGTAATTGATAATTGTGGCTTAGTTTTAAAGTTACGTTTGTCGGTTATATGTTTCTTATTGCAATAGCGTTTTAAATTGTTTTTTGCTTTTAGAATTCTTCACATTTCTAATTCAAAATTTTATAAACCAGGTCTTGTGCGTCTTGTCTTTTACAATTATACAAAAATACGGGCACAGACATCCACAATCAAATCACACATAGTTAAGCTTGGGAAACTATTTCGTCAACAATAAGTTGTTATAACATGGTTTGTTTCAGGTGGCACTATATATGTTAATAATCAATACAGCTTCTGAGGCTTAGTAGTAGCGACTACCTCTAAGTAATAGAGGCCCCATCACGTAGTCTAATGATGTGCGAGGTTGTTACTTAGACCTAGCTCAAAGTCGTCCAGACGTTGATGAATCTCTATCGAATTATGCGCGAGGTGGCACTCCGTCCCCGCCAATCCGTGCACCCTGCACATCCCGCTATCGCCCGGCCGCCGGCCAATAATCCGGTTAGAGCGACCGCACGCGCCGCGGGCGCCGGCACTGCTCTGATCGACCCGTAATTGGGTGTACTCACCTGCCGCGCCGCAGATTATGAAATAAACGTTTGAAACAAGACGAGCCTACAACGTTATTGGATAATCGATAACTTTTTGATGCTCCACAACGTCTATCGCCTAAGTGGACTGTTCATATTTTTTAAAAATTTAATTAACTAATAGTCTCTAGGCCTCTTCAACATAAAATAAGTAAAACATACTTGGCTTTTCTACAAATAAAATAGTAAATACTCATTAAAAGTTTAATAAACTAGTACAAAGCTTTTTTGTTCGTCTAATTATTTCTGAAAGTCTAGATATAAATTCTATTTTAATGACTAACTTAAAACAATAAGATACTGAAGAAATTGTTTGTTGCTTATTAGGTGCTTCTTTCTTATTAACAATCTTTATAGAGGAAATGAATTTGGCTTAGCCAAGCGTGTGTTCGGTCGGTGTAGCTCGATTAAACAGTGGAGTGTTGCTGGCAGTTAATAAACACACGGCTGAATGCGCGCTATATGAATAATTTGATAGATTGACGTTTCAATTTGACTTTGTTCCGCTTGGTTTACACCGGCCGGTTGCATGATGCTAGTTTCGAACGATACAGTAAAGCGAGCAAGTCTGAAAGCCAATTATACTTTCAAAATATTAAACGAAGTTTATTTTTACTTCTCGTCAAATACATAAGGAGAATAATTATTGAAACTTTCATTATTTATATTCCGGGATTCTATGCATAGTCAGCCTACATTTGGTATGAAAAGAATAACCATCACGATTCAATTTTTTCTCATAAAATTACACACAAAATCGTAATATAGGTCATGCTCGTTTAAAAATTATGTTTCATTATACAATATTTGAGTGATACATTTGCATTGTTAAAAACATTTATTCCCGTATACCTTTAACATTTCTAT